TTAGACAGTGTTTACGTAAGGACCGCAAAGCCTGGTGGGCAGAACGTGCGTGTTAGATGGAGTCCGCTGCTACATCTGGCAACAGTTATAAGCTGTTTCAGCTCATACGAGCCAACGGTAGCAAGAAACAACATGCTAGCGAGACGACCAGTGAGACAGATGGCACGCTAATTACCAGCCCAAAAAAATGCTTCGAACGCTGGGCAGAGCACTTCGGGAAACAGTTTAGCTTGCCACTGGCTTCAATGTCTGCTGTCATTAGCTCCAGTGCTCCTTGTCCGGTTAGTACCGACCCATCAGCCGGAGTGGAGGTTCGTAAGGAACTCCAAGTGTTAAAACGCCGTAGGGCACCCGGCCTAGACAATCTACCCCTGGCTCTGTTTAAAGATGGTGTCGAGACTCTCGCAATGGCTCTAATTGGATTATTCAGGAAGGTATTGTAGACTGAGAGTGTGCCATCAATGTGGAATGAAGCCATTATCGTCCCTATCTTCAAAAAGCAGTTGACGTAATTCATGTGACAATCATAGTTGCGTTCATTGGATGACAGTCTAGGGGAGATGGCTAAACCCTGATTCCAAACCTCCAACGACTGGCGTATGAAGCTCACTGGAGCTCACCGGCAGACGTATGGACAAAGGGCTTGTCGGATGTCCTGGATGTCTGGCCCCATTCAAAAAGGCATATGAACTGAACTCCGGTCACCGGCTGCCAATGGATAGTGGACTCCTTACTCCACTCCTACTGCCTTGTAGGTCACACTTGGTTGTGTAAAGGCTAGAGCTGCAGTCTCATACAAAAGGGCGAGCGATTCTGGGGACATCACTCGTACCAAATTCCCACAAAACTTCATGAACTTTCTTTGCATCAGATCGCAGCGCCTGGGCTGCGATGATTCGAGATGTTCATGAAGCCGGCTCATCCTCCCGTAGGAGATAGCCGAAGTAAAGTTAAAAAAAGTTAAGTCTAAAATATTGGCTGCTGTCTTGCTTCACAGGCTGTGCAAAATACGTGAGGGATTGATTCGCGAAGAGCAGGCTGGGTTTCGTTCAGGTCGTGGATGCATTGATCATGTGTTCACCCTTCGTTAGTTGTTGGAACACCGCCACACGTATTGCAGGCCAACGATCGTTGTGTTTCTTGATATTAGGGCTGCCTTCGATTCGTTGGACAGAACTGTGCTCTGGAACTGTCTGTTAGAGAGACAGGTGTACCTGAGAAATTTGTTAACATCTTGAAAGCCCTATACAAAAATATCTTAGGTAGAGTGAGCGCATACAACCTGCTATCGTCACTATTCCCAACCAACAGTGGGGTTAGACAGGGTCACCCTATCTTCCCATTTCTCCTTAACTTTGCCATTGATGACATTCTAGAGTCAGCTCTGAAGGATGTGCGTGAAGGTGGTGTAGAACTGCTCCCTGGAAATAGACTTTTCGACCTCGAGTATGCAGACGTTATCGTCTTACTGTGCGATAGCATGCAGGCTGTCCAAATTGCACTTAATCAGTTGGCGATCAGTGTCTGTAAGTAAGTATGGTATGTGCTTTGCACCGTCTAAGTGCAAAGTACTGTTACAAGATTGGCAGGAGCCTGTACCTGCGCTCACTCTTGCTTGCAGGTAAACCGCTTGAAGTTGTTGATAAGTTTGTGTATCTGGGTAGATGTGTGAGTGCTGGCGTAGGGGTGACTGATGAGATTTCCAACCGTATAATGAAGGCTAGGGTGCCACCTCTGGCGGCATCGCGACGTTAGCCGCCTGGCTATCAAAGATCGGGTATACAATGCTTCGGTCCCTGCTGTCTTCCTCTGCGCCTGCGAAACCTGTGTTCTGTGGGTGGGCTGAGGATGTGCAGTGACTCTGCGTATTCGATCATCGGTGTCCCCTCAGGATTGCTTGCATTCGATGGCATCATCGCGTGAGTAATTCTTAATTTCGGTGGCGTGTGTTTGAACACAGTGGAGGTCACCATTTGTTGAGTATCGTCATCTGGGAAACCCCGGCTTCTGTGGCTTGAAAATGTGCTGCGAATGTCATCCCAGAGGCTTCCGTACAGGTCTCCGTTCGCTAGCCAGCAGTGGGACGGAATGGAAAAGTGGAGAGGTGGTCAGTTCATGACATAGCGTCTTGGGATGGAGGATGTTTGTGCTAGATTAGCATCGGTTGGTGCTTCACGACTCCCTGGTTGGGGTCCATGAGATAGCTCGAATCGATGGCTCGAAACGTTATCGGATATGGCCAAGAATCGTAATCAATGGCGAACGTGTTGAAATTTCCTTCTTTCTTCCCTTCCTGATGATAGTTAACGAATACTGTTTGAACTTGTTAAGTATGACTGTTTCCTTCCAGATGAAGTTCTTTATCCTTTCTCCACCGGTATTTTTACTTTTAATCTATACTGTTATTATTATTATTGTGTGTGGCGCATCTTCTTGGGGCCACATTGTACCAAGTTTTTTCTGCGTTTGAATAAATATAAAATAAATAATCACAAAGATGACAGTATTTTTGTGACCTAGTAGTGTGGTAAGGAATAAAAATCTGCAGTCTGCAATCTGACGAGGAATTATCAAGTGATGTAGTAGAAAAAAAAAACATTTAATTATTCGTTAGGGAACCATTGGAAACCAGGGAGTACTAGACAGTTGTTTCATCCTAGTTTGGAAATCATCAGCAGTACGTGCTTGCCTTGTAACCGGAAGGTCCCTGGTTCAAACCCTCTGTTGTGGTTAGTGCGTACTGCCTATGATTTCCAAACTAGGCGCTGATGAAACATCTGGCTGTCCAGTACTCTCTGTGGCTGGTTTTTCAATGCTTCTCTAACTGATATCAGTCGTAGAAATAAAACTAACTCTTACAAACCAAACTATAGAAAATTAAATTATTCACTAACTATGGAGAGTTCAGAGAGATTACAACTATACGCAATAACTTCGTTCAAAGTATAAGTATAGATGTCCTTTAACAGGTGTTTCATCTGACATTTAACATTAATGCAATCATCATCATTATCATGATATTGTTTATGGAGACAGAGAGGAGTGACAGTTTGTACTTATAATCTCAGAAATTCATTTTGGGGTGCATTGCAGTGCTTTTTAAAACACACACTACTGCGCCAACACTAGTCAGTAACTAGTGTGGAGTCAGCCAGTTACTTGCATAGGCTGTACACAATTAAGCGTGTTTCTCGTCGAATTTCCGAACATCACCAACCCCGCACAGTGGTTGGTTGGTTAAGTAAAGGAGAAAACAAAATCTATTCCCACCGCTGCCATTCTATCTCACTCATCTTCTTGTGGATACAGAACAGAACACAAGACTGATTGATGTTAACAAGGCGGCGGCTTTCAGGGTCATTTACCGCATACCAGCGAATCTCAATTTCGCCTTAAGAGTTCGACTACTAAGTGCATTGCTGAGGCTGGTCGTTTGGATCCATATTAACAAGCTTAATTTCTGCATCCAAAAGAGGAAGTTGGTTGGTTCAGACATTATCCATCCTTACCCGCTTAACCATCCAGGTTTGAATGATCGATCCTGAATTTTTGTGGAATTTTCCTAATTTTAGTTGATATTCTATTTGCTACTATATCTTTGTTATTATGATTATAATTTAAGCATCTTTAATGAACTGTGGTGATTCCATTGTGATCTTACTTTACAAATCGATATTACTATTTAAAAAGCACACTAATATTGTTATTGACTACTAATCTAGAATTTAAAACAAGCAATAAAGGTAAATAAAGCAGGATTTAATGAATTCATCAAATTTCAGTAGAACTCATCATCTGAATACTCTACATTCACGGATATATATACTTTTGAAATTACATTGAGAGATATAGGACTGATAGGTAAACAAACTACATTGAATTAGTCATGCAGAAAGACAGGTGCGAATGTTTTTCCAGGTCATGTTCAAATAGATAGGAGCAGAGAGAGTATGAGAGATCGAAATGAAAATAAATTGGATTACGCTTCAATTACATCACTTAGATAAACAATGCTACTACTGATGAAGGATAGTTTTAAATGAATCAAGAATAATAATAATAATGAGAATAATAATAAATAATAATAAGAGGTAGAATTATAAGTAAAACGTATTACCATGGTGGATTCAGAGTGACGACCATCTCCTTTTGTACACCTGGAGACCTGGTTTATAAACCCGGATTGCATAAGCCTCCTCAGCAGCAATTGCAAGCATCTTCCTGTTTCTTCGTCTGCTGACGACAGTGGGAATAACATGACAGCGTCGAGATCATGTCCGTGATCCACAAGATGCTTTGTTATTGAGGATTTTGGCACTACGCACTCAGCTGTCGTCGTCAACCATTTTGGCAATGCTCACTTTTTTCTTTGTTCGGTACATATCAAATTAGTAGCTGTTTGTCAAGACTTCTAAGGTTAACTTTACAGATTCTTCTAGTTTACCAAGTGTGAGGTTCTTTGAAGAATCCAACATCGATGATGGGGAAAATTTTCCAATGCTTATGCAACATAAATTCGTAATCGAAGATATGTATCGTTGTGATATTATTGTTGATTGTCAGAGACGTTGAAGGCTGCAATATAAATTTACCAAAAGTAGTTTGTGAAACACAGATTAGTATCCCTGGAACATTAGTGGTTAATAATGGTTATGTATTCAAAAGGTGGGGGCGGTGGGGATTGATCAATAGATTATTTTATGAAGAATAGTATGATGATGAGTTTGAGACGACGTGAAAAGTAGTTTTTATGGAACTGACCCACTCAAGTTACACTCTGTTATGTCCCAGTTTTGAGAACATGTGTTGTGTTAACTTACTTTTTGACTACTGCCTTACATAATATAGTGGCAGTTCTTTTCTCTCCCTCTCTAAACAGTTTAATGTTCTTATTTCTTTGGACCTTTGGAGTTGTTTTTTTTTCAACATTTTGTGTAGCAAAATTAAGTTTTTTAACGTCGATTTTATCTCTGTGTGTGTTTTTCATAATGTTTTTTCAGCTAATCAGAATATCATCCCTCAACAGCAACAACAACAGCAACCTTACAACCTTAATGTGGCAAATCAACAACAAAATCGCTTCCCTGCTAATAACATGTGCTTTCCACAACACCCTAACAATATACAATCAATCCTACCTCGACCACCTATCAGAATGCTACCAACACACTCTTCATGGCCACAAGAACAATCCCGCACAAATCCGCATACCGGTAAGTTATTGATTTCAATTAAGTTTTGTTTATTTGTTTTATTCAAATGGTTGTGAAAATATCACGTGTGGTTTTCATTAACTAGCCGAGTGGACTAAAAGGCACCGAAGCTGGGTGTTCCCACCACTGCCAGAGACACACACACTAAGGCGCACTGAACCATGTAAAAGCAGTCAGTGATGTGTGTGTGTTTTGTGTGATATTAGTGTGTTGCAAAATCTGAATGTTGTACTTATAATCTCAGAAATTCATTTGGGGTGCATTGCAGTGCGTTTTAAAACACACACTAATGCGCCAACACAATACGTTTTTTCATTGGACACTAGTCAGTGACTGGTGTGACGTGTCTGGCTAGTCCCTTCTTTGGTGCAGACTGAATTCTATCAGTCAGTCAGGTTTGCAATGTGGCCACCATGCCACTAGGTAGCTCGCCATCACGATGCACACATTGATTTGATGATATTAGATAGTTGGAGGCAATCGGCCACAGGAAGCCTTGGACTTGACTGACTGTGGCACTGGGTGACGGGGTTTCGAATCTCAGATGGGTGGGTGGGACATAAGCTGTTCTTTCAATGTGGTCGCAGATACGCCTTGCTGACTGATGAGTGGCAACTAGCACGAAACCTAAGTCGAGCAAGGCTTCCTGTGGCCGATTGCCTCCAACCATCTAATACCAACCACTCACAGTGCACCGTGATGGCGAGCTACCTAGAATGGTGGCCACATTACAACCTGACTGATAGAATTCAGTCTGCACCAAAGAAGGGACTAGATAGGTGACACACTAGTTACTGACTAGTGTCCAATGAAAAAAGAAGGGCGAAAGTTATTGTTCATCAGAGTCTGGTTGATGATGACCTTGTTTCCGCTGAATGGAAATCACCTTTTTCACTTCTATAATAGTTACTGACTTGATTGAATAACCGAGATATGTAGTAGCGATTGTCGTAATACATGTGTGTAAGTGTGTGTGTTTGTGTGTGTGAAATCAGAATGAAAGATATCTATTTGTATCTGGGAAGGTAATTAATCGGAGAAAAGACTATCTTTTTTAGAAATTACGAGTGTCAAAGTGTTGTAGCGTCAAAACTTAGAAAATGTTGTAAGCGTCATTCCCAGAATTCCATTATGGGTAGACTTGATTGGTGGTAGTGGTATTTTCCATATTTCCGGTGTGAGTGATGAGTCGTTTTTATTGCATGTGTTGGGTGAAGACTCGATGAACCAGCCAGGATTCAGTAATCAACCTCTACCTCTCTTCACCTATCTATATTGCTTCTTAGAATTTCAACCCTCTCCGACCATGCTATTGCGTGGTTGTGTGTTAATGCATCCAGTGAGAGATTGTAAAATAAAACGAATAGAAGGAGAAGGTTAACGTCACACTAGTGTTTATAGAAAACCAACTCATTCTGCTAATAGATACTTAGACTTTAATTCATCACCTCATCCGTTAACTGTTAAGCCAGGCTTAGTTAAGTGTTTAACAAACCGAGCAGTAGCACTAAGTAGCACAAGAAAAGACCCAAATGATGAAATAAAACAGACAGAAGAAGCGTTGGTGTCAAACAACTAACTATCCCATAAAATTTATTAGGAAGATCAGTAAAGGTGAAAAGCAAAATAAAAACAATGGTTAAACTAATAATGATAACATAAATAAGAGAGAATATAAGTCATCTACTGTTATACCATATAAGCAGGGGATATCTGAGACACTCACTCCCTACGTAGGATTCTTGGTAACAAAGCAGGAATTAGAGTGGTGGCATTCGAACCTACAAACTCACTCAAGTCGGACAAACCCTGTAGGTTAAAGGACCCTGTTGACTCATTAAAGACAAAATAATATCATTTACAAAATACCCTGCAATGACTGTGAGTTAGGTCAACTACCTACATAAGTGAAACAGACTAGTAGATCGGGGATAGTCAGATTGTCAGAACATAAGAATTTAGCTAAGATAAGAATGGTTGACCCTGAGAAGATAAGTAATTTACGAAAAAGCTCAGCACTACATTGCATCGCATGCATTAACACACAACGACATGGTGGGGAGGGGTTGAAATTCTAAAAAGTAATATAGATAGGTGAAGAGAGAGAGGTTGATTACTGAATCCTGGCTGGTTCATCGAGTCTACACCCAATACTTGCAATAGGAATGACTCATCACTCATACTGGAAATATGGAAAATAGCACTACTACCCATCATCAAATCAAGCGATGGAAAATAATGACGGAATTATATAAACGAAGTTAGAAAGTTGTGTAAGTAATGCCTTGATATGATTATGAGCAATAAATTGTTCTACGAATGTCATCGGTTAATATTACTGTATAACAACACTGTGAGATTGTGTCAAAACAAATTTTACCCATATAGGGAATTATACTCTACCACCACAGTGGCCAAGTTTTATTCTTATATCAGTCACCCCGAGAAGTACTTGAGTAGATTAGAGTTGAAGCCTGCGCGCTAAGTATTACAAACAGTTTTCAGCGGTGGTTTTCACCGCTGCGGTTAGATTTCAATAACCAACCCACATCTCATCAGGTAAAACCAGAAGCCTATATAGAAAACTATATGCTCGCACCAGCAGGTACAAAAACTCAACCATACCCTACTTAGCTCGTGTTCTGTGGGATAAAGAAAGCATTAGGCGTGACACATATAATTCATTAAATAGTCAGTAGTACAACTGGATCTCGTCTTTCCAACTCATATCATTTATAGGTACAACATTTTCTTTCTTTCTTTTCCTATTCTCTCTCTCTCTTTTCCGTTTTGTGCTGCTTTGTTTCTTTCTCTCGCTTACGCCAGTAAATATGACAGCACCTACTTTTCTAACACCTTCAAACACTGTTCAGCTTTACCTTTGCTAACGACTTGCCAATATGTTGTTGTCATAATGAACTGAGATTTTCTTAATCTATGTAGAATTCTATTTATTGATAATGTACTAACTGGATGCAATACTGTAGTAAAATTGCTGAGAATTCCATTCTGTATCACATGTACTGTTTTGGAATAAAGCAAATTATTATTATTATTATTGTTATTATGCTAATTAATTATTTCACACTTTGTGTGGTCTGAAATTCATTTACTCCTTTTTTCCCCTTATTTATTTAAGGACCATTGGTTCAGTCAAATTTACTACCTCATATTCAGACAAATGAAAATCATCGTCTAGCAGCAGCTGCAGCATCATCATCATCAAACGCTTACAATATGCAAATGTCTGGGAATTCTTCTTACATGTCTGTACGTTCATCTCTACCGACATTTCCCTTTCCTCAACTATGTCTCCCTCAACAACAACAACAGCAACAACACCTCCAACAACAGCACCAACAACAACGTGCAGGACTACCAATGGAATCTGCATTCAATCCATTAAGAGGTGTACTATCAGGCGGAGGTGCAGGAGCTGTTGGTAGCGGTGTTGGTAGAATGCCGGCAATGAATAACGACAACATTGGAGGGGGCATGCATTTACAGCAATGGTCCACAACTCCTCAGGTGTCTTTACAACAGCAGCATCAACAACAACAGCAGCAACAGATGCCATGTTCACCTTATACTTCCTTTCCAATAAATCCAATACGACAAAATGCCTTTAATAACCGACCAATGTATCCACCAGCACCTGCAGGTGCTGCGGGTGGTGTGCCACCATTTGGGCAAGGGAATTTTTCTCAAAGATTTTCAGGACGATGAATACACATATTTCTGTGTGTGCTGTTGCTATCTATCTATCTATCAATCTCTTTTTAGATATATTTCTTATAAAAAATGTGCAGTTTGTAAATACCCATAATGTGTGTGTGCGTGTGGAATAGTCGAAGCTTGACTTTACCCCTAGGCGTGTTGTTGCTTAGTGAAAAACTTTTTATGACGTGTGTGTGTGTGTGTGAGAGAGAGAGAGTCCGTGTTTCAGTATGTACATATTCTTGTATTCTTAAGATCTGACCTGATGAAAACGATGCCATGTCTATAATTTACTATATATGTGAATGTGTATGTGTGTGTACTTTAATGGATGCTAATGAAATACAAAAATTTTAATGAGGATTGTCGTATCTTTTATGCTTTTATCAGCGGTTTACGTTGTTGATGAGGATGATAGTGATGATGTGTGTTGGGTGTTGTCGGAGAAGTACCATATATAATCATTTAAAACTTCCCTTTGTACAGAACAACAATCAGTACAGAACAGAACAGAGACTTTCTTTCCTTCTTTTCGACGAATTTATTACCGAGCTGTAAAAAATCACAATCAAGGCAATCATCAAGATGCTAAAAGTTAGAAAATCATCAGGACCAGATAGAATCCCAGCAGAAGCATTGAAAACGGACCCAGAGGCAACGGCGGACTTGATGATGCCACTACTGGAGAAGGTGGCAGAGAAGAAGGCAAAGTACCCGAGGATTGGAAGAAAGGATACTTATTCAAACTAGCAAAGAAAGGAGACCTAAGTCAATGCAAGAACTGGCGCGGACTTATGCTCCTGTACATCCCAAGCAAAATACTCAGCCGCATCATCCTGGAGAGAATCAAACATGCCAACCTGGATGAAAGACTTCGACAGGAACAGGCTGGATTCAGGAGAAACAAGTCATGCATTGATCAGATCATCACTGAACAAAGCTTGGAATGGCATTCACCTCTCTATCTCACTCAACTTCATCGACTTTGAAAAGGCTTTTGACAGCGTCGACCGAAAGGTGATTTGGAAACTACTTCGCTACTACGGGGTGCCACCGACAATTATATACATCTCATCCAACACTTAGTTGTACGACAATGCTGCATGCAAAGTAATCCACAACGGGAAACTTACGGAATCCTTCGAAGTGAGGACAGGAGTAAGACAGGGTTGCCTACTATCGCCAATGATTTTCCTGATTGCAGTAGACTGGATAATGCGACAAACAGTGGGCCAGGCAGCGAGGAAACAGGCATAAAATGGACCCACACGAAGAAAGAACTTGGAGGATCTGGACTTCGCTGATGATATATGTCTGATTTCCCACAAACTGGAAGGCATGCAAGCGAAAAGCAACAAGTTGGCAGAAGAAGCATCAACGATAGGAAGGACTTCAGGTGAACATAGAGAAAACAGAGGTAATGAAGATTCCTGGCCAATACCAGCAGCAACAACAACAATCAGCATAAATGGGAGGAACCTGAAAGAAACAACCTGAGCGAACTAACCAAGAACCGATTGTGAAACAAATAGGCAGGAAGAAATGGAGATGGATTGGTCATACTCTGAGGAAACTATCAAGTGACATCACTAGACAAGCCCTTGAGTGTAACCCGAAAGGGAAGCCGTGAGTTGGTCGTCAGTGCAAGGGTGACTTGGAGTAGGTCATGTGAAGAGGAGATGAAAACGTGTGAGCAGACTTGGAGCCAGGTGAAGACTCTAGCAGAGAACCGAACGCAATGGAGACGCACGGCTGAAGCCCTATGTTCCTCTAGTAATTAAAGGAAACAATAATAATAATTAATGTATATACGATTGGTTTGGATTTTCAATACAAACGTCACGTCAGTCAGTTCTTCTATACGTACGGATGAGAAACTTGGCGGCGGGTCACAAAGAATATTTCCAACAGCCTGTTGCAGACCTTTATCAACAACAACAACTGTCTTCGCTAGCATCATACTGAAGATGGCCGGAAAGAACAAGAACCAACAAGAAACTATGGGAACAACAACGAAACAAGAACCAATCGCTCAACAAATATGCAGGAGAAAGAAGTGGAGATGGATCGGACACTCGCTGAGGAGGCCGCTGGGTGACATCGCGCGTCAGGCCATCGCTCGAGTGGAACCCGAAAGGGAAGCGCCGAGTAGTGGGACGTCCAAGGGTGACTGACATGGAGGAGATCGTGTGAAGAAGAGTTGAAACACAGTATGGACTAAAATGGATGCAAGTGAAAAGTACAGCAGAAGACAGAAACAAGTGGAGACGTGTAGTTGAAGCCCTATGTTTCACTAGGAACCCAAGGGAACAATAATAATAGTAATAATAATATACGATTGGTTGGTGGTGGTTGTACAGCGTGATAATAAATTCAATGAAAAGAATCCCCCGATCGAATATTATTATGCCGTGAATGGTTACGATTTATTGTTATCCTTTTAGTTCGTATCTTTTTGAAGCAAAGTGCATTTCACTTGATTGTGGTTTGGTTATTTTGTTGAATGTACAGTCGAGAGTACACATGCTGCTGCTGCTGTTGTTGATCGATCATCGGTGTTTCAGCGATAGGTTGCTCGCCAACCAGCCAGCCAACCACGCACCTGATCCGCATTTCTATCGCCTAACGACAATGTGGTCTCTGTAATTTCGCGTGCGTAGACTATGTAGTTAAGTTTTTTGTCGGTGAAGAGAATCAGTTCACGCGGATTGAAAAAATATCTTGTTCCGGTTCTACTTGATTGTAATGACCGATTGAAGTAGATAATAAGTAGTTTATAAAACAGAAAATATAATTGAACCAGTAAAGAATATCCTTTTCGATAAATTCCTCCTCCTCTTCTCGCTCTACAATTATATCTATATATGCATGTTTATTTATATACATAGAATATTCTAGATTAGTAGTCAATAACAATATTAGTGTGTGCTTTTTAAATAGTAATATCGATTTGTAAAGTAAGATCACAATGGAATCACCACAGTTCAATAAAGATGCTTAAATAATAATAATAATTATTATTATTATTATAACAAAGATATAGTAGCAAATAGAATATCGTATGGAGGATTTCATCACGAGCTGACACCACTTAGAGAACCACTGGAAAACCTGGGAGTTCTGGACAGCTGTTTCGTCCTAGTTTGGGACTCTTCAGCAGTACGCGCCCACCGGGATTCGAACCCAGGACCTTCTGGTTACAAGGCTCGCCCTGTAACCAGAAGCCTTGTTTTCCAGTGGTTCTCTAACTGATGTCAGCTCATGATGAAATCCTCCATACAATTAAACAAAATCCCTACCAAACCAATACTTGAAAAATAGAATATCAACTAAAATTAGGAAAATTCCACAAAAATTCAGGATCGATCATTCAAACCTGGATGGTTAAGCGGGTAAGCATAATGTCTGAACCAACCAACTTTTCTTTTGGATGCACAAATTAGGCTTGTCAATGTGGATCCCAACGGCCAGCCAGCCCCAGAAATATTTACTAGTTGAACTATTAAGGCGAAATTTGAGATTTGTTAGTTGGTGTATGCGGTAAATGACTGTGAAAGCCGCCGCCTTGTTAACATCAATCAGTCTTGTGTTCTGTTCTGTATCCACAAGAAGATGAGTGAGATAGAATAGCAGCGCTGCAAATAGATTTTGTTTGTCCTTCACTTAACCAACCAACCACTGTGCAGGGTAGGCGATGTTCGGAAATTCGACGAGAAACACACCCAAATTGTATGGCCTATGCAAGTAACAAGCTCACTCCACAGGAGAAGTCAAATTGGTAGATACCCACACACATGGAAGAGGCGAAATTAGGCAGTTTATCTTTTACTCCCGAAGGAACGCAACAGAGGAATGGTTTTCAACACACAGCGTAATTTGGCAGCAGGGAATGCTCCTTTTACCGCCTCATTTGTAAGGCACAGCTGTGTTAGTATCTCGCTGATGTTGTCCCCAAGCAACTGACTGCATTTGTAAGAATAAGGCCTTCCTTTGCCTTGGACTGCTTCGATTTTAGATTCATATTCTTATCAATAAACTTTTCTGGATAACCATTTTCGCTCAGCAACCGTTTAATATTAATAACTTCCTCATCAAGATATTTATCCGAGCAGATTGTTCTTGCTCCGTGGTTGACCAAGCACTTTATCAGCACGAAGCTGAGAAAATGAGTATACTGACAGGTAGTTGATGTAGGTTTTCTATATACACTTCTTCTTGTTATTGTGCCATTCTCTTTTCTGGTCATAAGGACGTCTAGAAATGAAATAACTAGAGTCTTTTTCTTCCTCGATGGTAAAATTTATTGCAGGATGAGCCTCGTTAAATTTATCCAGGATGTGCTTTGCTTCCTACTTCTCATTTTTCATAATCAACAATGTATCATCCATGTATGTAGCGACAATAGTATTCGAGAACTATTAGCATTTAATGAATATGTGTCATTGATAGATCCATTTTGATTCATTCCACTAAATATCTTAACTTTTCGAGGTCTCCAACAACACCGTCCATACTCTTCATGATATCGATCAAACCGATACAGAATAACTTCATGAATTGACGTCATCTTTTGTTCTAACAACTCTTAATAGTCTTTCAATGCACTCCTATATCAGTTAACAGTGTTCCACCTGAGTATCGCTTAGTCCTAGGCATATTTAATAAACCTAGAATACCTAGAAACTATTTTAGTCAGACTGATCTCTCTCTCGATTATTATTATTATGATCATCACAAGAAGGATTCGTGTTCAAGGTGCTGTGATGGAAGGTGTGTTGTGTCTTGAAAGACAATGAAAGCTCTGAAAAAACATCTGTTGTTTGGTCTTTTCCTTATATGCATAGCCGCCACCTGCTGTTTCAACTCTTCGATCTTCTTGGAAGCTTGGCACTCTGTCATCACTGGAGCAACATGCGAAGTCATTATCTGCGTTGTCACCTTGGCCATTTCATAAACATCCATTGGTTGAGCTGCGTTAACTAGCTGCAACTCAAGAGCGATATATGTCGGGAGGCATTCGAGGAACTGAGATGCAAGCAACTGCTCCCGTGAATCTTCGTCCAGGGTGGGTAACGCGCGTCGCAGGTGATTCGTCAGCGTTACTGCTAGAGCTAATGGATCCTTATCCTGGCGAAGTCTCAGCGTCCGAAACTTCTGCAGCGCCTCTTGTCTGTCCGTAGGGCTGTCGACCTCGCACACGAGCCTCTCGACGACCTGGTCACACGCCGCCTCACCTTCCAGCTCCCGAGCGTTGTCAAACGCAGCCTTCGCGCGGCCCCTCAGCAGACTTCCCAAGTCTACCAGCTCCGCGACAGCTTCAAAATCCCTGAGGAACATCCGCACATCTCCCTCCTCAAACACCTGCGGCCACGGCACCTTCATCTCCGGCAGAGTGCTGGGAATGCAGCCATGCCTGACTTCCACAGTATTTAAATTCCTCCAAGGGAAAATATACAAACAAACTGAGGGAGTTGCCATGGGATCACCAATATCTCTGGTTGTGCCAGATATATTCATGAATAGGTGAGAAAACATAGCCATTGAAACGTTCAGCTCCACCCACACCAAAAGTATGGTGGAGGTGTATTTAGATGACACATTCATTCATTGTGCTTAGAACACAGGATATAGATAGAACACATTAACTCAAAGGTGGAGGCAATTTATCAATTCACTTATGAATTGGAAAGTCAGGAAGCGGGGCAGCTTCCATGTTAGATTGGAGCGTAAAAAGAAAGAAGGTGGGAAGGTAAACACACTAGTGTGTGCTCACAGGAAACCCACACATACAAACAGATATTTGGACTTCCGATCATCCCACGCAATCTATGTCAGTAAAAATAGGATTGGTGAAATGTTTAAGTAACTGAGCACAAAAACTAAGTAGTATTAAGGAAAATCTAAGACAGGAAGTGAAGCATGTGAGAGAAGCTTTGAAACTTAATTATTACCCCAATAAATTAGTCAGGAAATGTGAAAATAAAATAAATAAGGATAGTAGCGATAGTGATAATAATAATAATAATGACGACATGCATGTCAAATATGCGCAAGACAACACCAAGAATAAGGAATCTAAATCATCAGTAGTAATTCCATACAAGGAAGGAACCTCGGAAACCACCTGAGGCAGAATTCGTAACAAGGCAGGCAGGATTAAAGGTCACTGGCATTAAAACCAACCACAAAGTCAATTAAAAACATTCTCTGTCGGTTCAAGAATCCTGTGGAGCCTAGATTGGTTGACCCAAATAAGATAACAAAATCTAGAGAATAGTTCAGCAGCTATCGCAAGCACTGCATGCAGTTACACACACCCAAACATACAATAGGCTGGATGGGATAAGAGGCCAAGTTAAACTTTAGACACCAATAACTAACAATCAGCGAACGACGTCAAATTATCCAATGACATTCACGAACGTAGTTCAATGTTGTATACCGCTTGATTCATTTACAATGCGTGCCCTTACAAGGATACGTTTGCAGTTCGAGGAGGATAGTGTCTTTGAGTATTGCCTGAACTTAGGCTTGCTTCGAAAGGAGAGATGTTGTTCATGTGGTGGAAGCGAGTTAGTATTAGAGAGGGTAAGCTGCTAATTTTAATATTTCGTAGGAACTTTCTTTGCTAGGTCGCATCTCTCCCTAACCCAGATTTTGTTTATCTGCAACTATTGGGTATTGAAGCAGCCAGTGAGAGCGGCAGCTGCGGAGACGGAGAATAGCCTCGTCTCAACAGTCCAATGCTATCAGTACTGTAGAGACATCGCCTCATGGAAAATGGAGAGAATTACTTCAACGTTAGGCGGGGAGGACGTAGTAGTGCATGTGGATGAGACAGTGTTGGTAAAGAAGAAATATAACCGTGGTCATCAGAGAGCAAACAACATTTGGGTAATAGGTTTATACGACACGTCCCCATGAAAAGGATTTGTTGCAAGAATAGAAGACAGGAAGGCAAGCACTCTGATACCCATTATAACTCGACTTGTCAAAAGGGGATCAATTGTGCATACGGACGAGTGGAAAGGTTATGATTCATTGTCATCCCTAGGTTACATTCATCACAGAGTGAATCGCTCAAATGATTTCGTGGATCCAGTTACAGGGACTCATACGAATTCCATTGAAGGATTTTGGGGTAGAATGAAAAATAGGATCCGGGCTATAAATGGATCTCATTTTTAGTCATTTAGACGAATATATATACAGAATGTGGTGCGACTTCTCTATTGACAGTCCCATGCTGAATTGGGAGATGTTCCTGTCCCATGTTCGAGAAACATACCCATTGTAACCGTTTTATCCTTTTTTTATGCATTTTTTTTAATAAATATACGCTTACACTTATCATAAACGCCTCTTTCATGTGATTGGTCCGTTCAAGGTCGTTTGCTGATTGGTTGTTATTGGTGTCGAAAGTTTAACTTTGCTGGATAAGATAACAGTTTTGAAATCTAATACAACAGGGTGACGAGTGGGGAAGATTGATAAAAGAACCTTTGTTTATCGAATCAACACGTGTAATAGAAATGATTCAACACCTGGACATCTGGAAAATTCTACAATAATGAATTGTGTTCGAAACTGTCATCCAGTAAATTCTAATACTGTTTTACTCTGTGATACATCTAATAAACAAACAAATATGGAATTAATTGATGTCTTGGTTAACCGAGACAACCACCAACAGTCTCCTGCACATTCATTATATTTCCTTTGAACTTCTCTCCCTACCTTTATGTGCATTTGAAGTATGTGCAAAGTTCTACATCGAACGACCGATGTAGCTGGCTGGCTCATCAGCAACTGGTGAACTGATATATATATATATATATATGCATACAATCACCTCTACTCTCATGGTAACAACTCCGCTGATTTGACTTAACTTTTGTTTGTATGCCTGTTTTTTCTAACTATTTAAAACCCTTACGTATTTCCGTATGTTATTCTGTTTCCATGTACACTCACCCTGAGCATACAACTCTTTCATCAAACTATTCACATTGTTATTACGTAACTCTCTTCTTTAACAATCACTTGTGACAACTCATCATCACATTCGTTACACTATCCTCTAATATCAACACATCCCATTCTCATGTGAACTTAATAATTGTATTTTCGTTTGACAAATTTAATGTACACACGCACACACACATACAAAACAACCACATATATATGTATTTGCGATTGTACAGCTATGAAAATGAATTCGCCGCCGCCGAAAAGAGACTCCTCTTCGCTGAACTACTGTAACGACAGAGGGCCAGGCAACAGATCATTTATTAAGGAAAATCAACACATATTTATAGATTCTCATGTACATTATTGCTAGTAGAAAATACAGTCTTTTGATTGGTTGTTTCTCACTGAACATTAGTTAACCTTGCATCTCTTTGTGGCTGTGTCAGATCATCCATATGCTTACTGTATCCGCCTACAAAAAGCCTTCGTTCTCATTTTCTCACCACCAATATTGGGGACGTCAATTACTGTCTACCAACTTTGGCTAGCAGCCAGCTCTCACCACACTCGTCCTCCCGTCAAACACTTGCGACCGAAGTTGGTTCAGTCTTCTCGGTTCTTTGCTCTTTTGTCTTGCTGTCTGGAATCTCGGCGCTCACTGGTGTTCACCTGTTTCTCTTTGTTTACCATTGTGACTGCGTCTGCGTAACCCCATCATCTCAAGGTGTCCATACGTGGTCCATTCCACTGTGGAAACTGTTTGTCTGACCCTGTCGCACATTCGTAGGTATTTCGCCTCACACTGAAATTGGCTGCTTTCTCCCAATCTCCCAGCAGCGTCCCAAGTAGCAGCCTCATAGGTGACCGATCTTGAAAGCCAGTCAACTGCGAAGCCTCAAAGTCCTGTCCGAAGATCCATATGTCTCCATTAAAAGCTGCAGGGCATAGGCTTTCCATTTGTCTGTAGGTAGCGACATCAAATGTAACTACAGAAGACAACGCCCAGTCAACAGATCGTTTATATTAAGGAAATCAACACATGTTATTGTTAGTAGAAAATACAGTCTGTGATTGGTTGTTTCTCACTGAACATTAGTTAACCTTGCATCTCTTTGTGGCTGTATCAGATCATCCATATGCTAACTGTATCCGCCTACGCAAAGCCTTTGTTCTCCCTCATCTTCTCATCACCAATATTGAGGACGTCAATTACTGTCTACCAATTTGGCTAGTAGACAGCTCTCACCACACTATTACTGGTCTTTTGTCTATCAATGTTCGAATGGGAGTTTTTTACATTAATTATATAAGGAAGTAACACTAATTATTAATCATTATTATATTATTTATTGAAATATAGTTAGAAGGTGAAAAATCATTGTACACATTCACGATAGACACATATATATTAATGTATATTAATATATTAAATCGTGCGTCGGTGGCACAGTGCTTATGACGCTCGCCGACCATGGACGTGGTCCGGGGTTCGATCCCCGGCCGACGCACTCCTTTACCTCGCTAAACCAGAAATAATGCTGGTGAAGAGGAAAGGTTGGGCATGAGGATAGCAACCCCATCCTGTAAAAATTAAACACTGCTACAGAAACTTCAAGCCACTAGCTTGAAGCCTTATGTTCTACTGGGGAACGTGAAGGAAAAAAAATATATTAAATCACAGATAGAATATATATATTATTCAACAATGCAGACAGTATTATGCTTCAAAAAATATATGCGAGGGGTGGGTGCTATGCAGCAGCAGCCAGCGTTGTCATATTCTGCCAAAACTTTTGATCTAGGAAATCAAGAAATGAATTGACGCGTTGTTTACGGGCTTCGGTTTCTTGTAAACTGTTATTTGCAATATTTCCAGTAACACAATCTTCATCATCGTTGTTGTCATTCAACGTGAGTTGTGTTCTTCGTGATCTCAATAATGGCTAGAAATACACATACGTACATATAAACAACGGAAAGGAATAAATACAAAACTTCGGAAAAATTTACCACATTACTACTAAATGAAGAATTGATTTTAGGAAAATTCAATATATGTATATATATATATATATATATATTTATTTATGTGGTTGTGTTCTCTCTCAGAGCGAGCAACTGGATAGTAGTTAATTTGCGAAGCTTTGATCATCGCCCTAATACTAGGCAGGCAACATCTTTTCTACAGCGCTGTGAGACCTGGCCATTGAGAGCATGAAAAGATTAGCTGTCTTTGATCATACTTGTCTTCGTTCTATCTCCCGTGTTAGTTGGTGGTATAATAAGGTGAGCAATATTGAGGTTAGGCATCGGTTGAGTGCTAGGTAAGGCAGGGAAATCAATAGACGAGACTGTGAAATTACATCGACTGAGATGGTTAGGACATGTGTTACGCATGCATGCCTAGTCAACGCCTTCCTCGACAATGGGCAATGTTAGCTGATTTGGGCCAGGTTGGAAAAGAGCTAGCGGCGGTCAAACCAAAACATGGTACCAGTCAATGAAATCCACAACAGTTAGTCTACGCCATGTAGGAAGGTGTAGACTAGCTAACTGACTGGTTGTGGTCTTCGAGGTGACGGTGAAAACCAATGGTTGGAAACAATCGGTGACATGGCTCAAAATCGTTCTCAATGGCTGGGTGGCTGGCGCAGATGCATCCAATCCTTGTGACTTATAATTTCCAATGAAACTATATTGTTCTTTGTTATTACTATTCCTTTGTCTCACCACACCTCTGTTTACTGTCTATACTATGCATTTCTTCTACTTTCTTCTGTTGCTTTGTGTGCTACAAGAAGGGAGTGTGGTGACTTGAAAACCGGCCGACAGCGCGTGCACTTCAATTTGAATGATTGAAGTGAACTTTGAGATTTCTCCACGAGTTCATCATTAATCATCTCTCCCGGTGACATATACCCCATCGAAGCCAACCTTATCAAACCGAAAGCCCCCAAGAAAAGCACAAAGAAAATCGCCCTACCATATATATGAAGGATATCTCAGAAATCACTGCAAGACTCTTCAAACCTTGATGAGGAATTGACGTCGCACACAAACCAATAAAATCACTTCACTCAGCTGGCTTCATGTCAACCAAAAGACTCAACAGCGAAAGTAGATAAAACCAACATCATCTACAAAATAAAAAATTGTAACAACTGCGAAAAACACTACATTAGCCAAAGTGGACATCCCTCCCCTTCGTCTTCATATCCATGACACATAAGTTAGCCGTCAAAAGACATGACATCCACTCCCTCACTCATATCACTACACTGCATACAGACAACCACGGACATCAATTCGACTGGGACAACCAAACCAACGTTCAAATATTAGACAGAGGAAACACCACCAAGAATGCTAGCTAGAGAATTTTTAGAAGCCTACATGGTATTCCAGTGAATCATCAATCAATAGACACATCGAGATTGACAAAATTTATCAACCGATAAGGAAGAAACCTCACACACACACAAAAGGTCGAAATTCAAGTCAAAGAAACAATCACTTCCAATACAAGTAGCCTAGAGGGTGTCAAGAAAAACACACAAAAACAACCAATCACGTCTCAAGGTGGTCACCGACCAGAAGAGATGATTAATGGGGAACTCGTGGAGGAGAAATCTAAAAGCTCACTTTAATAAACTGAAGATGTCGCCTATCCAGTAGGGCGATGAAAGTTTCGCAAATTAATTATCCAGCTCAGACAGAGAACACAACCACCTCGAATATATATATATATATATATATCAGTCAATCTACAAGGTGTCCGATTGATGGTCTTATTGTAGCCTGTCTATCCATTAACCTAATCACAGAACACGGTTAGCTAGACTCGATTGGAATTCAGTGGGCAGTTCTACGCGTTGTGTCAAACTGAATGGGATCTATAGAATAACCTGATATTAGCAAATACCATACAAGCCATAAAGAAAGCCTACGAAGCAAAGAATGAGCCTCATGACAGACAACCCGATGCAATTGGTGCTGAAAGCGAAACATTCGCACACAACACTAGAAATAAGTGCAACAACAGAGGACAAGGGTCAGACAACAGATCGTTTATTTAGGAAATCAACACATATTTTGTCGATTTTCAAGTAAATTATTATAATAGATTATTGTTAACAGACAAACACAGTCTTCTGATTGGTTGTTTCTCTTTGTGGCTGTTTCTTCAAGGTCAGACCATCTAACTATCTGCTAATTGTATCCGCCTACGCAAAGAAAGTGTGCTGTGATTGGTTGTTGGTTCAGTCAGTCAGTCTTTGTTCTTGTTTCTCATGACCAATATTTGGGACATGAACAACATTGACGTAAATTACTGTCTACCAATGTTTGCCTAGCAGGCTGCTCTCACCATACTGGTATTCGTTGGGGGTTGCACATTTTCTGAATTTTTGTTTCATTTCATTATACGTGTACACTAATGGACTTAATTAACGCTAACTGATCTTAGCGACTTATGGATTGACTTTCTACTCTTGTTGAGTTAAAATATGCAGATTATATAGTCCTTCCCCCTAGATGAAGAGCAGTTAGCTGAACACCTTGAGCTGAGCAGCAAATCTTCGAATGTTTGGCATGCTATTATTCGCTAATGTTATATATATATATATATATATATATATATATATATATATATATATATATATAAGATGATTCTGCATGACTGAAAAACACTGACACTCTTGGCTTCAATTTAGGGAGTGAAGTGTGGTTGGTAGAACCTGCTGACCACTTCACTAATTTGGAAAGTTCCATCAGCTAAAATGGGCCAGTTGCTAACGAAATCTCAAGGCGGATAACAAAGAGGCTCATATCACGAAGAAAAATAATAATGACACTGCGAACCACTCTGATCGGTTATGAGGTGTCTCCAAATATTAGTTCTTTTGGACACCAAGCAGATAAAAGATACTTATACTAATGGCTCAGATCATAGATCACAATGGCCTCATAGGTCGGATTCGGGCGTATTCATAATACATTGTCCTTGTGACCCTGTAACCGGATGGTCCTGGGTTCGAATCCCAGTGGGTGCGTATTGCTGATGATTCCCAAACTAGGTTGGTGAAACAGCTGTCCAGCACTCCCTGAGACTGGTTTTCAATGGTTCTCTAACTGATATCAGTCCGTGATTAACTCGTAAAAACAAAACATAACTAACCCTTACAAACCAAACTAAAGAAAATTAATCTGATGCTCACTAGTGACTTGCTACAGGATGGAGTTTCCTGGACTCAGTTCTGGTGAGAAGTCGTGACCAGTGAGGTCCATCCAGATGTCAAGTGTGAAGATGGATGTGTCACACTAACGACAATGGTTGGGGTCGCGCTAAATCACGAATTGGTAGAAGTTGGAATTCATGCACTGGCTGGCCATTGAATAGGGTCAGGTCCGAGTGAGTGTGGCTGAATGGTATACGAGACAGCTGGCTTGCTGGCGTTGCAACCGGAAGGTCCTGGGTTCGAACACCCCTGCAGGGTGGGTGCGTACTGTCGCTGATTCGCAAACTAGGTTGATGAAACAGCTGTCCAGCACTCGCTGTGACTGGTTTTCAATGGTTCTCTAACTCACTGATATGAATCCGCGATGAACTAGTAAATATCATGTGACATTCGCCAATTTACGTCATTTCTCTGTCATCCACAAGATATCCGCCTATCCATCAAAGAATGTGTGTGTTTGTGTAATGCACAGCAGTTTACTCTGCTCTCCTTTATGATTGTGAGACATGGTCATTGGAAGGAAGTAGAAAACCTATAAAGACTACATGTTATTGATCATAGATGTCTGCGTTCGTTTCATTTCCCGCGATAAGTAAAATAATAAGAATAATATGGTGCGCAATATTTAGGTTAGGTATCGAGTGTTAGTTAAACAAGGAGGGAAAGTTAATGGAACAGGTTGTGAAGCTATATTGATTAAGATAGGCTAGGACAAGTGTTACGCATACCTGCCTGTCTAACCACTGCCTTTTTCTTCTTCGACGAACAATGTTAGCTGATACAGGGGAAGTCAGGTTGATGAAAAAGAGTTTGGTTTGAGCCATTTAGGGAGGTTTACGGCTGACTTCCTGGTTGGGGTAGTGGGGATTCTAAGAACCAAAGCTTTGAGACTGTTGGTGATACTTTGGTTCGAAGGTTCGTTCTATCTTTATGTGCTACATGGAGTGTAACACAACTTGAACTGCTGCTGCATCTCTGTGCCACACACACGTTTTATGCTGAAGGCTCACTCAATCTTTTTTTAACCTATATTTGTTCACAAATCTATTTTCGGTACATCGATCAGGATAAATAAATATTGAAAATATATATATATATATATACATATACGCTAGAAAATGTCAACAAAATTCGAGAGGATTAGGAAGGCACAAGTCGACCTGTGTGTGTGATTTAACCGGAAGCATATAACACTCAACTGAGAGGTGTATAGTGATATTGTGGTGAGAGTTGTCTGCGCTAGCCGTAAATTGATAGACAGTAATTTACGTTAATGTTTACAGTCTCAAATATTATTGGTCATGAGAAAACAAAAACAAAGACTGACTCAACCAACAACCAATCACAGCACACTTTCTTTGCGTAGGCGGATACAATTAGCAGATAGATAGATGATCTGACCTTGAAGAAACAGTCACAAAGAGAAACAACCAATCAGAAGACTGTGTTTATCTGCTAACAATAATATATAATAATTTCCACTAAAAAAATCGATAAAATATGTGTTGATTTCCTAAATAAACGATCTATTTGCCTGACTGGCCTTGTCTTGTTTGTTGTTACAATATCACATCCATATCACACTGATATTGTCGTTGAATTCCTGATGGTCAATTGAATGAAATACAGGCACTGAGTTGATTAAGACAATTCAAGATCAACAATTCAGTTCAACAGTCGGTCGGTCGGTCATTAACAGTTCGTTGACGTTCAGCCACGACAACAACAAAGTAGAGTATCAAAATTATTAAGAACACAATATTCAGCGAAGAGACTCTGTCCAGCAACGAATTTATTATCAAGCTGTACAATCGTATATATATGGTTTTATTATAAAAATTATATCCGGTGAGGGAATTAGGTCAAAGGTGTGAATACATGAAATAATAATAGTATTAAATGCAATTAAAATATTTGTGATTATAATCATGGAACACCTGATCGACTTCTATCACTCTGTCAACTCTGACCATGATTTTAAGATCATATATAGAATCCATGCTAACTTACCGTCCGCGTTTTCTTCGTTACAGACTTCTAAAGACAGTTGAGGCCTTGGCAATTCATGACTTTAAGCCAGCCAGAACTTTGTGTATAAAAGAAGTATGTACAAACCTTACTTCTGCCTTGGCCGCAAAGGGATAGACATTTATTTATTTTTTGTTTATTTAGTTATTCTATGTACTCTTCCCTTATTACTATTATTATTAATATTATTATGATTATTATTATTACTATTCTCACTCTGAATGTTTTTCACTTGACCCACTTGACATTTTAAACCTAAAATTATTAATTTTTATATTTTTTACAATATTGAATTCTGTTTTATCAAATTTCATACCATGTTATGTAACATTTTATATTCGTCTACTAATCTTATAATTATGTAGCCTTTTCCAAAATCTATACATCCTTCTTATGTATTATTCTATATACGACATTAATTATTGTGCCACTTGACATTAAACTATGATAATAATCACAAATATTTTAATTGCATTTAATACTATTATTATTTCATGTATTCACACCTTTGACCTAATTCCCTCACCGGATATAATTTTTATAATAAAACCATATATATACGATTGTACAGCTTGATAATAAATTCGTTGCTGGAGAGAGTCTCTTCGCTGAATATTATGTTCTTATTAATTCTACAATGGGAATTATTAAATTATATTAAAATTATGACAACTTCTAAGAGAACAAATTAAAACAGATTGAAATATATATATATATATATATATATATGCATATAATGTTCTACAACACATCACCTCACCCACCCACTTACCGTCAATTGTAAGCACGTTAACTGGTAATGCAATATCGCCTGTAAGAAATCCCACAATGAAAATTCAGGCCAATAACTCTGAATGAATTTGTACACTGCACCGTTTTCTGATGCTTGCCATGTTAAAAAATCACTCAATCGAATTTCACCCGAGGTACGTATAATTAAATCCAATGGTTTTGACAGACGTGTGTACAGACATTTCGATAAAAGTTCACGTGTAATATCACTAAGTAATAATAATAATAAAAATAATAATAATGGTGAAAAGGCAAGTTGATGGGCAGTGACAAAGTATTCTTTAAAAAAATACAAGTTAATGAAACTGTCCAAACTGGTTGACCGAAGGCCTGATAAAACTATCAAAAGAACTTATTGTCTTCGGTTACCTGAATCCCAGACAGAGAAGGTTAGTGCTTCGCGGGACCGCAGAGCCCAGTAGGGGACACAACTGCTTGAGACAGGCCAGTGGTCACACACACACACGGCCTGTATGATCTGGTCTCTTAGTTTGGTTCCGTATTAGTAAACTTACCGCCGGTTACGGAACACCGTAGGTAGGGTAAGTCGGGATGTACAATTTTTGGGGTCGAACTTTTGTAACAGTCGGTCGGTCGGTTTTCGACATAGAACTTTGCACATATGTGCACCAGTTCAAGTCGCCACACTCCCTCCATGTAGCACACAAACCATGAGAAGAAAATAGGAGAAATGCATAGTATAGACAGTAAACAGAGGTTTGAGACAAAGGAATAGTAATAACGAAGAACAAAACAGTTTCATTGGAAATCATGAGTCACAAGGAGTGGATGCATCTGCGCCACTGAGAACGATTTTGAGCCATAGCATCACCAATTGTTTCCAGCCTTCATTAGTTTTTACCGTCCCGAGGACCACAACCAGTCAGTAAGGTAGTCTACACCTTCCTACGTGGCTTAGACTAACTGTTGTGGATTTCATTGACTGGTACCATGTTTTGGTTTGACCGCCGCTAGCTGTTTTCCAACCTGACCCTATATCAGCTAACATTGCCCATTGTCGAGGAAGGCGATGACTAGGCATGCATGCGTAACACATGTCCTAACCATCTCAGTCGATGTAATTTCAGAGTCTCGTCGATTGATTTCCCCTCTCACCTACCTAGCACTCGACCGACACCTAACCTCAATATTGCTCACCTTATCATACCACTTCACACGGGAGATAGAACGCAGGCAGGCACCTATGATCAAAGACAGCTGTCTAGCCTTTTCATGTCTTCTACTCTCAATGGCCAGGTCTCACAGCTAGCCATAAAGGAGGGCGGAGTGGACTGTTGAGCAGTACACACGCCCTTTGGTCGATAGTCGGATATCACGTCTACGCCAGAGACGGCGTAAACTGGCATATACGAAACTAGCCCTCTGTATTCGTGCCCAGCTGAGATTTCGTCGGGGATAAACTAGTTGGGGACCTTTCGTAACCCCCCCCCCCTCGTCTCCAGAGTGGAGAAAGAGCATAGCTGGCTGGCTGGCATGCTGGTCATCTGAGGGAAACACCTCGTTGCTGTTACACACCCGTGTTCCCCATCAGTACGACTTCGCCCACAGACCCCCAGCATACCAGAGTGTAAGGAAGATTCTTACACTATGCCGGTAACTGCTTTTAGTCTAATCGCTATCCTAACAAACTTCCTGGCATGGTAGGACCTACAGGAACATTCGTTCCAGCCAGTGCAGCTTGTTGGGTGATCGCCATGTGCAAGCCCGACCGCAACACCACGTCAAGGTAGTAGCTATCGGTCGTGAGAGGAACTTATTACGCTGCAAAGACTGTATTCTTTAACCAAATACCATCCGAGGAGTTCAACAACATGGGAAAGGTGATGTATCGTCAACTTTCAATACTTTTAATTGCGTATATCAGTAAGAGTGTGTTTGGTGAAGCAAATAAATAAGACGTACACAGAAAGACGATCTCCTACTCGCATAATGCAGCATTTTCCCAAAATGGTTGAAAAAATGTTAAGTAAAAGTACAAAGAACTTTCAAAAAACAAAGCATCTTACAGAATACAGACATGATAATCACACCGTGAAACCATTGGAAAATCTATCAACAGACAATAAAACAGAAAGATACTTGCAATCGCATAGGCTTGCGCAATTAGAGTCGACAAATTCATTATGGATAAGATTTTATTTTGATAAACTGTCACTCACAGTGTGTGTAGTGTTGTTATACAGTAAGTAATATTAACTGATGCGACCACGTTTCGAGCACAAACTATTGCGACTCATAATCGTATCAAGTCACTCACTCACACAACCCTTTTCCTTCATTTATATACATCAGCGGAATTCATGATTAGACATTGGAATAAAAATCAGTAATATGGCTAATGTGCATTCAGAAATAATAATAATAATATGAGTGTTATTGATCAATTACAATAATCAAATGGGAAATAAGACGAGTGTTTCTGTTATAGTGATAATAAGTAAGTAACTTGTTAGAATGTTGTGATGATGTACGTGAATTGAATTGAAATAGGATACAATTCAAGATTATTTATTATCCTCCTCTGATTTCACTGACTGACTGACTGGTGGTAATAATATCTTCCACACATATCTCTGGTATTTGCATTGAGTCATTTCTGTTGCATGTGTTGTGTTGGGTGTAGACTCGATGAACCAGTCAGGATTCAGTAATCAACTTCTCTCTCTCTCTCCACCTACATAGATTACTTCTTAGAATTTTAACCCTCTCCCACCATGTTATTGTGTGGTTGTGTTAATGCGTGAAGTGCAATGTACTGGTGAGTGCTTTTTTCTAAATGACTTATCTTCTCGGGTGGGGTCAACCATTCTTTTTTTTAAGCTAAATTCTTATGTTCCGACAATCTGACAACCCGCACCTACTAGTTTGACCTATGTAGTTGACCTAACTCACAGTCATTGCAGGGTGTTTTGTAAATGATATTATTTTGTCTTTAATGAGTCAACAGGGTCCTTTAACCTACAGAGCTTGTCCTACCTGAGTGAGTTTGTAGGTTTGAATGCCACCACCAGCCTAATTCCTGCTTTGTTATTGAGAATCCTACGTAGGCAGTGAGTGTCTCAGATATCCCCTCTCTCCTTATATGGTATAACTGCTGTAGACGCCTTATATTCTCTCTTACTTATGTTATCATTACTAGTTTCACAATTATTTTTTAAAAATTTGCTTTTCACCTTTTTCGATTTTCCTAATGAATTTAATAGGATAGTTACTTAGTTATTTAACACCATTTTTTTACTGTTCTAATTTTTTTGTCTCCTTTTTTATTTTCTTATTTACAGTTTGGATTCATATGATGACCGACTGGTTAGCAGCCATTCTCATCGATCAGGATTCCTGGAGTCCCACAATAATAATAAACTCAATCCGTCAGATATTGAACATGATCCATCAGAAAATTTTGTTGAAGAAGATTATATCACTGAATCACCTATTCAGAGCCCAGCTATTCGTCGACGTCTAGATGACAGTTTCTTTCTTCAGCATGGATCACCATCGTCAAATGAATATGACATTGTGAAACACCGTGAACGTCGTCGAAAGCATCTTGGTCTGCCTCTACTGAAACCAAATCATGTCGGAATCTTATCGCATACCGTGTTCATAGGCCATTTACATAAACAAATTGCAGAGAGTCTACTTCGAACACTTTGTTCCGAAATAACTGAAGGTCAGGTAGTTGAATGTAATTTCATTCCCCCGCGAGGTTGTGCATTTGTCACTTTTGCCACTCGACGGGTAGCACATCGTGCAGTTTGTCAAATGGATCGATCAACTATGAATGGTCGACAGGTGAAGGTTGCTTGGGCTCCAAATCTTGGCGTGAAGTCGAACGAAGTATATCTGGCGAATTATTGGGATACAGAGCAAGGCTGTACATATTTACCTGTGGAGGAGGTTCTCAAACTTACATATTCTCAGTTTGTCGATCTTTTAGATGGTTGTGCAGAGGTGGATGAAGAATCATTGGTTGATGCAAGAGTTAGAAGTTTTATCAGGAATGCCAATCGGAGTAGTGATAATAATAAAACTGAAAAAATATCCTTGAGTAGTTCTCCTGATGGAAAGTTGGCTAAGAAATCACAAACTGCAACTGCCCAGAATACATCATCACGATCAACGTTTCCACCTGTCGTGTCTCCCGTGGCAGTTGTTGTCAGTTCAAATGCTGCTTCAATTTCTTCAATGTCACCTGTTGTTGTTACTCAAACTGTACCGATGATGTTATCCTTAGTACGAGGTGAGTCTAGAATATAGTGTATCCTTCACAGCTGGAAACTAATCTGGAAATCTTCGTCACTCAGCAACACTCAACAACAAAATGATTCGGATTTTCAATACAAACATCAAGTCAGTCAGTTCTTCTATACGTACAGATGAGAAACTTGGCGGGTCACAAAGAATATTTCCAACAGCCTGTTGCAGACCTTTATCAACAACAGCTGTCTTCGTTCTATACTCAAGATCAGATGGCCAGAAAGAACAAGAAGCAACAAGAAACAATGAGAACTAACAAACGAAACAAGAACCAATCGGCCAACATATATGCAGGAGAAAGTGGACATGGATTGGACACTCACTGAGGAGGCCGTTGAGTGACATCGCGTATCAGGCCATCGCTCGATTGAAACCCGAAAGGGAAGCGGCAATAACATCATCGGTACAGTTTGAGTAACAACAACAGGTGACATTGAAGAAATTGAAGCAGCATTTGAACTGACAACAACTGCCACGGGAGACACGACAGGTGGAAACGTTGATCGTGATGATGTATTCTGGGCAGTTGCAGTTTGTGATTTCTTAGCCAACTTTCCATCAGGAGAACTACTCAAGGATATTTTTTCAGTTTTATTATTATCACTACTCCGATTGGCATTCCTGATAAAACTTCTAACTCTTGCATCAACCAATGATTCTTCATCCACCTCTGCACAACCATCTAAAAGATCGACAAACTGAGAATATGTAAGTTTGAGAACCTCCTCCACAGGTAAATATGTACAGCCTTGCTCTGTATCCCAATAATTCGCCAGATATACTTCGTTCGACTTCACGCCAAGATTTGGAGCCCAAGCAACCTTCACCTGTCGACCATTCATAGTTGATCGATCCATTTGACAAACTGCACGATGTGCTACCCGTCGAGTGGCAAAAGTGACAAATGCACAACCTCGCGGGGGAATGAAAT